GACTGAGATAATAGGCAAAAAAATTAGCCTGAAATTTGTGGTGTAATTGGCTGGAAAACCCCTGTCGCCCATTGTACCGTACAGGCTTCATTGCCTTATTAGCTGTTGCTAGATAACTGTCATCAAGCGTTCACATCCGTTTGCTCCCAGGTTGGCCTGCAGTGTCTGGGAGCTGCGGCCGTGGAACGGTAGTGACAGAACTGCAGGTTCAGCCTGGGCCGAGCAGCAATTCACTCCTCGGCTGTGCTTCTGACCTGCAGGGAGAGGGCTGGGCATCGCCTTTCCCCGGGGGCTCCGGTACCTGGAATTTTACCCTCCTACCTCATCCGCTTGGGGAAATGGGAGTGAGGTTAGAGACACCGCAGCACCTCTAAACTCAGGCTCTTACTGCGAGTGACAGTGTTTTTACTCTGGAACAAGGTGGGATGAGGGCAGCGCTTCTCTCTGGCTCCACGTTAGCCACGTGCAGTTTGGCTCTTGGGAAGTGCTCGGTGCTAATCTTTTGAGCCTGTGGTTTGCAAGCTAAGGGTGAAGCGTCGGTTCAGATTTTTAGGCAGGCAGATCAGCTTTGAACATGGGCAGAGAAGAATGGAGAGAATGAGAGGTGAACTAACGTGCTCTTGGAGCTTTTGAACTAGCAACAGGCTAAATTTTATTATCATATTTCAGCATTTTTTGTATAAATCACCATGTTCTCTCACTGATAATTTACCAGAGGACTTGCTCTTTGTTAATTTTCCTACATGGAATGACATCTGATGCACACGAGAAGCTTCAGTCTTTGCTGGGGGGGGTGTGCCATGATTATGAATGGTGTTGATGATGCCTTGCAAGGACAGACATTTCCAGGTGAAGCCTCGGAGTCCCAGAAGTCTTGTTGGAAGAGATCTTAGAAATCTTGAGCCCAGCCATCTGCTCAAAATGGGGCTGTTGCCAGTGCTACATGAGATTAGTCATGGCTTTTAAGTCGAGCCTTAACCACCGCTCAGATGGAGTGCAGGACTAGCTCAGGAGTGCTCTTGCAGCTGCATAGCCTGAGGTTAGAAACACAATCTTTTAGGTTGGAAAAGACCCTTAAGATCATTGAGTGCAACCATAAACCTAACACTACCAAGTTCACCACCAAACCAGGTGCCTCATCTACATGACTTTTCAATACCTCCAGGGATGGTGACTCCACCATTTCCCTGAAGCTGCCATATTCCAGCTCCAACTTCACATCTGTGTGTTGCCCCAGGACCAAGTCCTGCTTTTTGCCCAGAGAGGAAGGTAATGGGTGTAAGGCACTTGTCCTCCTGTATGGGTCAACCATGATGGTCATCTCTGTTCCTCGTTGTGGGGAGTATGTGCTAATTGCCCAGCTCCCGAGCGTGACAGACCCTTTGTGTGACCATTCCTGGGGTACTTTGGCACTGAGAAAGGCAGTTTGGGCAACTGCCACCCCAGGCTAGTGGCTAACAGTACATCCGGGGACTAGACAGGCAGGAATCTGAAACAGGAAAAGCCTCGGCACTGTTATGTTAGCCTGTTAACGACATGGAAGGTTAAACCTTGCTTCGTGTAAAGCTCCGTCTGCGCTGCTCCAAGCATTTTGCATTTGGCTGTGCTGAAATTTACTCCCAGGGAGATTAAATTACTCTTTCTTCATCATTCCTATCGATCCTTTGTTGCTGGCTGTGGATTGCAAATGAACTTCCCGCTCATTCCAGCTCTAGTTGCTCTGGGAGGTACATTGTGGCTTTGTTAATCTGGTCCCCTTTGGGAGGAGGTGTATAAAGGCAGTGGGGAAAAACCCTGGCTGCACAGGTTGGGATATGCTGCTGCAGAGGGTAACCAAGCAGAAGGTTGTTTTGGAGGTCACAGCCATTTTGCACTTAGATGCTTAATGGGTGTTCTGAGCGAGGCCTTTAGGGCAGTTTGAGATGGAGAGGGATGTTCTGAGATTGAGCACCTCTGAAGGAGGATGGTGGACGCGATGCTTTGGCGTGGAGAGTCTTCCCTGTTGAAGCAAGTCTTCATCTCCTCCCCCAAGAGATGCTGATGTACTTGGCTGCAGGGTTTTGTTGGCTTGGCTTGCCGAGGAGGTGGGTGGCTGTTGTGTCTCACTGTTTGCCTGGACAGTCTAGCTGGGACTGTCCATTGGCAAATATCAGCCTGATCGTGATGCTGCAGAGCTCAGAGAGATTGTTCTACAAACCTGGGGAAAACAGATGCTGGGGAAAAGCTGGTGTTAGCTCTCTTGGGACACAGGCCTGTTGGATACAGGAGAACAAGCACAGCAGCAGGGTGTCAGAAATGTCCTGGCAATGGGAGACTGGAGGCTGTATTTGCTGTGTACCAGGGAACACACGCCTTGACCAAGGATTCCTTGCCTGTGTGGGTTGAAAGCAGAAAGCTTTTCCCTGGTTGGAATATTCATAGATTTGTTCTCTTATGTAGGCCTTGATGTGTGATAAGGGTTGAGCTCACCCTGCCTGGTTGGTTCTTAATATATTTTGGTACAATCTCCGTCATCCACGGGACCTGAATCCATCAGAAAACAGGAACTGCTTTTGTGGGGTGTTGTGGAGGTCCCTCAAATAAGGTTGTCCACTAATCCAAGTACTGACATAGTTGGTGCTTGAGAACTTAGGGTTAGGGTCGGTGAAATGGGTATTGCATTAATGTCTGAGCTGCGATAGCTCACAGATTCAGAACCAGAGTAGAAGGCTGGGTTGATGGGTTGGACCTGGGGGGAGATACCTTTGTCCCTGGGCTGCCAAAAGGGGTTTAACTCGGGGTGCATCACACAACCAAGGCCAAATATAATGCAGCTGCATTTCAATTTTTTTTTTTCAGTTTTACCAGAGAACCTAAGGACTAAGATAGTGCTGGGCTTGTAGTTCAACCCTCTTCCCCCTTGGCCAGGGGAAAGCCGAGGTGTGTTAACCAGGAAACCCCCACTGCTATTGCAGCATGTTGAAGTTGGTGTCACCTGAAGGTGGGGAAAAGGCAGCTGCAGGACACCAGCAGTATATTGAAGTGTTCCTTCTCTCCTTGGCCTTTAACCATTGCCCATCTCTTTCTTTCTCTCCTTTGCTGCCTTCTGTGACACTTGGATATGCAGAGCGGCGAGGGCTTTTGGAGAGTATCTTTCACAAAACCACCCTGAAGGTAGAAACGGCTCAGGTAAGAGAACTGACACACCTTGTTGATGTCCCTAAGCGCATGCACATGCCTATTAATAGGCCGTAAAATGGAAGTGCATTTATTTATCGTAAAGGGTTAGTGTGAGATCTCCGCAGCAGAGAGACAGGAGGAGTCACGTCTGGATCTGCGAAGCCCTCGAGGAGAAAAGGCAGTTTGGTGACGTGGGGGTTGGGTGGGCTGTGGGGACAGCTGCAGTTTTAGGGGACAAGTGCCCTGTCATAAAGCTAAGGTTCTTGGAAGAAGTTTCGGCCGGGAAGTGAAAGGCTGCGCTGCACAAGGCCTCTGCGCTGGTTTGTCACTCCTGGGTCTTGCTTTCACTGGGCAGTGACCGAAGGTGAGTTACAGTCTGTTAACTGGCATGCCTAGTGAATGTGCAGCAATCTGCCTTTGCTGGCAAAGGAAACTTCTGGATTTATTCCCAGTGTTTTCTTCAACAGGGGTTAAAATGAGGTTTGCCTTGTCTAGCTGAGGACACCAGCACGTGCTAGCTCATGTGTTAATTTTTAGATGCAGAAATCGCCCCTGTCAGCCTGTGGTGGGTTCTGCTTCATGGGCAAGAGAGCGTGAGAGAAACTCACTTGACTTCTAGCAGGGCTGTGTCTGCTTTGTGAGGAAAGGAAAAACTTTTCAGACAATAAATTCACTACAAAACCTATAGAAAATCCTGTGAAATCCACAGAAGATGCTGTGTGAACAACTAGCAGATTGTTCTGTAGCCTTGAACTGTTTTGCGAGGAATAATGTTATTAAGTAGAATGTAATGTAGAGTGATGTTTTAATTTTATGTAAACTGTGTGTGGTTTTGAACCTCTACAGGCATGAAATGCCTCTTACTGTAAGAGCAAGCCCACTCACACTGGTCTCTGATAGCCAACTGAATGACCTTTTTCCTTGGGTCTGTTCTGATGACCTTCAAGTTGTCCTTGGCTGAATTGTTCTAACTTTGTGAATGGAAGGGCTTTAAACCGATGTACTACAGTTTTCTTTGATTTTTTTTTTTTCCCCAGGCATGAGAAACTCCAGTGTCACATTGCTTACAATATTTGGTGTAAAAACAAGCCGTGGTGGTAGGAAGGGAAGGGTAGAAAAAGGCTGGGGTTTAATGCAGCTGAGATGAAGCATCTGTGAGCCCGAGGGAAGGAAGGGGTTGGACAGAGAGTGCAGAGACAGGCCAGACAGGTCTGAGGAGGCTTCCCAGAATGGCAAAAGCATCCTTTATTGTGGCCATTTTTGTAGCTGCTTCTGTTAACTGGAGTCTTTGCTGGTCCTTTTCTGCAGTCCCCACCCGTTTCCAACAGGGAGAAGGGTTGTCTCCTGCTCACTTTGTAGTGCCCTCGGAGTACCTGTGGCCATGCAGACCGGAGAAAGAAGCTCTGATGGAGATGAGGGGAAATAGCAGACCTGTTCGGGTGCCTGAGACCTGGAGAGCCCTGGCCAAAGCCAAGGAGTAGGAGCCTCTCTGATGCTCACTTACAATAGCTGTTGTTTTGGGTGTCTTATGGTTGCTCCTAATTGCTCGTTCCTCTCTCTAGATAAGGAGAACATGGAAACAGAGCTGAGGCAGATAATATGCTGCTGTAGGGCTCCCCAGACCAGTGCTTAAGCCCTTTCTGTGCTTGTAACCTATCTGTAAGCTCTCCAGGGAAGCTTTCCATACCCACTGCCCCCTCGGTGTATCAGGCTTGAGATCGCATTTGAATCCAAGCAAATTCAGTTGCTGCGGATACAATCAAGCAGCGAGAGGTACACATGGATACTCCACAATCCTTATGTGGTCTCTTAGTATTGGCTTGGAAATAAAGAAAGTTCCCTAAAAATTACTATAAATGTTTATAGAAGAGGGGAAAAAGAACTATAATTTTTAAATTAATCTATTGGAATTCTGCTGTGTATAATTTAACCCAGTCTGCAACATCTCTTTATAAATAGCCATGGTAGGAAGGTTCCAATCCTCTAAAAATGTTGAGAGTAGAAAATTCGGCTCCCTTTTGTTTGTCCCAGTAGTCCAATAACGGAGAAATCAGCTCTTTCCTTCCTGCAGAAATTCTGTGTGTCAGTATCACTTCTGCAAGTTTGTGAAGGCTCCCCCTTGGCTCAGCAGAGCGCGTAAGCTCTATGGTTAGCTTTCATCCAACAACTCCAATGGAACAAATGAAGAGCCTCTTCTAAAGTGAGGATGTAGCACATATATAGAGGTACCTGAATCTGCTCCAACTCAGCTTGGCTGTAGTTAAGTTCCTACTTGGATGTGTTGGTGGCTTAGGTGCAGAAAGCTCAGCACACTGAAGAACGAAGTCCTTGGCGCACGCATGAGTGTTCACTGCACTCTGGGCTTTCACCATGGGTGTCTTCCACTGGTGGAAGGGCCTGCTTTCCGCAGTAATAACCCCAGTGCATACATGGCTGCTCCCTGCGCTGCCAGCAGACGGCAGCTGGCATGAAGGCTCTAGCCTAAATGTGAATGAGAGGAGGCAGGCCTTGACTTCAGTAGTTTATAGTCCAGGAAAAAAAGGGTTGAAGAAACGTTTAAAGTCATTGATGAATGCAGTGAGGGAAAAGGGTTGTGGTCTTTGAGGAGCAGGGAGGTAGCAGAGCCATCAGTGGGAGAGTAGAGGTCTGAGTGGAGGAAAGAAGGGCAGGATCCTCCTCTTCTGCTGATCCAGGAGCTAGAGCTCTCCTCTCTGCGGGCAGAGCACAATCCTCATGCAGAAAGGGAGGTGGCTGTGAATCTTTGGGATGCCAGTTTTTTTGCTGCTGTACCTGCTAATTCAGCTCCTCAGTGGAGAGTTGAGTTCTGTAACTCCCCTGGCAGACACAGCAGACCCACCATCCGGATGGAGGTGCCCAGTCTGCAGAGACTGCCCCAATTTACTCAGTTTCTGCTGCACTTTGTTTTCTGAGGTTTGTTCATTTTGGTTTGACTCCTTTTATTTTTAGAGTCCCTTGGCTCCAAGGAAAGGAGCTGGTGTGACGGTGTGGCATCCCACCTCTCACTTCACATTCCACAGCTGATCATGGAGCTCATTCTTTGGCAGTAACTTTTACACCCCAGAATCTATTTCTGGTGGCTCCTCTGGAGAGCGTGTGTGCGTGTGGCAGAATGGCTTTGAGGAAGTGGGGAGTGGTAATGAAGAACTTGAGAGGAATTGTGTGTCAGCAGGATGGGCCAGCTGCCATGTCCGAGCGTTTTAACGGGGGGTGAGTTATCTGCAGAGCTTCGTTTACCTTCTGTTTTCAATAACATTGCAGTCTGTCTGTGCTCTGCTTCCTTCACTAGGGTACTGGGTATGGAACTGGGCATCAGCAGGAGGTAGAGAGGATTGCAGGGCACTGCAGGGTATACACGTAGTGAGAAGGTGAGGTGGGGAGGATACCTGTTGTTGGTTACAACTTCTGATTCTTCCTGATGCAAGGCCTGAGAATTTCATGGCTCAGAAATATTGTGTAACTCCCCCTATGCAACTCTTCGATGTCTTAAGCTGAAGGAGGTTTTTCCAGGTGACTCGGGAGGTAAGTTTACCTCTCCTCTGTCGCTTGGCTCAGAGTGCTCTGACCATGTTCTCTGAGGTTACAGCTGGGTGGTGGCAATACGGATTTTTCTTGTCTTTGTTTCCCTTTTGGAACAGGGCAGCTGCCGGGTGATGGGTTATGAGCTGTTGGCAGAGGATGAGGGGATTGTGCCCTTGGGATTAGTCAGATTTTTTTCTCCTGATCTTTAAGATACTCTGAGGAATTAGAAAAAAGGGAGGGTTGGACTCTGCTGCAGCTGGCAGGACAAAGGCCTAGAAAGAAGACCAGGAAAAGGATTGAAGTGTTGTGAAAAGGAAGTGTAAAAAGGCTGCAGCGAGCAAACCAGAAGAAATAGTCACTTGGTGTCTCACCAGAGCTCACGGGATGAGATTTGGACATTCCCATCTTAGGTGTCAGAGGCCCCATGCTGAGATACCACTTTAAATTTCTTTATCTCCATGTACTGGGACTGTGAGAGGAAAAAGATACCTGGAGCATGGGGCAGTGAAATTAAAAATGACACCAGGTGGAGCATTTCAGGGGAAGCGGTGATGCATCCCAGTGAGATGGGATTCAGACACAAGGTCCTTTGCTGAGGAAAGGAAGGGGCTGTGCTAGGGTTTTTCCTGTTACTTTTTGTCAGGCAGTTTGGGGTGTTTGCAGGGCAGCTTGGGGTGCTGGGGCTGTCGCTGTGGGTGCAGCGCTCGTCTGCCCGCTGCGGGCTGGCTGCTCTGGGCAAGCTGCACTGGGAAGGCTCCGGCAGCAAGAGTGGGAAAGATCCCAGCACGTATAAGGAGTGCTTGGTGCTGCAGAGGTGACGGGCCCTGGGCCAGCTCTCGCTGTATCCCCGTGCTGGCATGGTGTGGCTGGCCCTGGGCAATGGAGGTGGCGTTTCTAGAAAGAGCCTGTGCTCAGGAGAGGGTTGTAGGCAGCCTGAGTTCAGGGCAGGGCAGGGATGGGAAATCTCATCTCTGAGGGCTTCAGCCTGCTTCCAGGGTCGGCCAGCACAGGTGGGGTGTGGGTGTACCCTAAAACTTGCTTCAGAATATGTTGCTTGCTTATAAAGTGAATAAAACCCTACATCACAGTGTTACCAGGGAAATGCTGAGGCCAGTGGTGGAGCTGCAATTTGCTCCTTTGGGTCCTGTCTCACCGCCACAGTTTTGTTTATTCACATTAGTGTTACAGGCCAGACTAAAAGGCACAGTGTCAACAGCATCTTCAGTTTGCTTGTTTTCTAGGCCTGTTTCAGACCAGAAGACTAGTCAGAGCCATTTCGTCATAGTTTCTCAGAGCAGCTCCCTCACTGGAGCAGCCCTCACCTTTTCTCTGTGGCTTGGCAGGGAAGCGCGTGACGTTCCACCCTCGGGAGCGATGGGGTCAGTGTGCCCGCGAACGTCATGGCGGGGCCGTCATGGTCAGGATTTGGGTGATCCCATAGCGAACGCTGTGCATGACATTCGCTCGCTTGTCTGAAGCCACTGCACGGCTAAAGTGCCACCGTGACCTTTTTTTAATTGTTGTATCTCCAGTTTTGTATCCCTGCCTCATGATTGAATATTTTGGAACAAAATTCCTGGTTTTTACCTTACCTGTTCCTTGACTGCATCTCTCCTTGGCGGAGCAGCGGGGTCCCCTGCCAGCCCGTCTCTGAGGTGGCGGGGTCACTCCCCAGCACATCGGTGTTGGGAAGGACAGAGCTGACGTGGTGGGGAGTGTTGGATTATGGCTTGGAGGGGGAGCGGAGGAGAGCAGGGCCAGATGCGGAGGGGCAGTGGCAGGCATACAGGATCGCTCTGCTCTTTGAAAAGACATTGCTGTTCTTGCAACGGCCTGGGCTCTAGCCAGTGCACTGTCTGCCCTCCCCCTGAGGGCGTCACCTGGGCCCCTACCACTGTAAAATTAAAAAGCTTTAACTTCATTCCTCCTCCTATGAACCAGGCTGTACGTCCGCGTAATGTAAACCTAAAGCCTTTCCATTCACCTTCGGTGGCCGAGACAGCTTTCATTTAAAGTTAGTACCATACGTCGGGTCCGGGGAGGTCCAGCTGAGGTGGAGCAGGGAAGAGGGAACTTTCTCTGAAATTTATTTTTCTGAGGTGACAGATGGCTTTTTAATAGAGTTTATCTGGATTCCCCTTTGCCATTTTGCTTCTGATGCTGGAGCTGGGGTTTTAAATCTAAGGTGCTTTAATCATCAGTTTGGCTGCTAAATACAGTAATAAATTTGTGACTTTTTAAGCTTCTGTCTATGCCTTGTGGCTATATTCTGCCATGATTTATGAACCTCTTATCCCATGGGGTTACAAGGCAGCCTGCATCAGATGCAAGTTTGGCTTGGTGAGTCCCTCCGCTGTTGTGAATGGGCATCAGTCAGCTGCAGCTCATCCCAGCGCGTTACCTCCTCGAGAAACGTTGTGACAGTGCAAGAGAATGCCGGAGTCCTTTCGCGGTTAGTTACCTGGGTCAGAGCAAGGGCTCAAGTTAGAGTTACTGGATGAGCAAGGATGTGTTCTAAGTATCTAATAGTAAGAAGTGCCTAATTATTGGGAACTACATGTACCGAGAATGTGGATTCTTTCTTTCCCGAGGTTTGGCAAATTAACCAGTACAGGTTATCGTTGATGTCAGTGGTTATGGCTTTGGAGATACGCATGCCCTAAGGACTGTGTTGGGCCGTGCTGCATGGAGGATGAAGAAAGAAGTACCAGAGAGGAGCAAGTGAAGCCAAAGAGACACGTTCAAGTAAATAACAAGGGTGGTGAGAAGTCGATAGGCCCTTGGGACTGGAGTTGAGCACTCAGGCTGTGGACTGGCTGTTAGACTTAGCCCAGGTAGGCAGGGAAGTGATGACAATACGCTTTGGATGTTTCTGTTACCGATAGACACATGATCTATGGATCAAGCATGTTGGTCCTCTTCCCTTAATCTTGCTGTTAAGTATCTCGGGCACAATAATCCATCCATTTGATGAACCCGATTTGTCTGCTCTGAGGAAGCCTTGCAGCTGTGTGAGACAAAGGTGTTGCTGACAAAGCAAGTGGGAGAGCAGAGCTGTTACCAGGTCAGCTTCATCGGAGTGGCTGGAGCCTGTGCCAGGCTTCCCAAGTCACGCTGGCCTGGGCTGGCATGGCAGTTTGATGGAGCACCTGGCTGTGGGAGAGGTGGCAAGAGCAATGTGAACACGAAATGAAACGGAGCAGCAGTAACCAGGCAGAGGGTGTTAACAGCAGTCTGCTTCTGCTGGCTCTTGGAAGGTAATTCCAGTTATTGCTGAAGTCGCCCATTAACGTTTCTCTGTTCTCCTCACTGATTATGCCTGTGACTTAATTCAGCGTTGATTTCTGGACCAGCTTGACTTCTTTCCTAGCAGAAGCAAACTGTTAACCTAAAATGCCATAGTGGAATCAGGTGCAGGGTTATGGTACCTGAATCCAGCTCACTGCAAGGACGGGTCAGGGAACTGGTCACTGGTAACGTCTCCGGGCTGCTGGCGTGTGTGAATGCATGTGTGTGCAAATGCTAGTGCAGACTTGCTCCCTGAAGGGTTGCAGGTTTGTTTTTAGAAGCAAATAATCCATTATGATGGATGTTTGAATCTCTTCCTTTCATACTCCTTTTTTTTTTTTTTGGTAGATACTCGTTTACTAGAAGGTATGAATAAAGCTTCACATTCCCTTTGCATATGAAGTTTCTTCTGCAATGTGTAGCTACTGAAGGTGCTAAATTGAATGAAAAGAAATTATTATCCAATTGTTTGACAAAGAGGAAAGCATATTGGTGTGGTCGCAGGCCTCTGTAGTGTGGGCCATGAAAACTCCCGGATAAGTACAAGTGAAAACACCTTGAGTAAGGGACAAGTAAGGTAGGAAGAAAGGATTATCCTTGCATTTTGCATGCTAGATCAGACAGGTCAAATATATCTGGTCAAGAACTCTAATCCTGCCGTGATTTCAGTAAAAAATTGACTCAACTTGAAACCAGCCATGTCTCACTTATGTGGCTTTAAATTTCATGAAGCTGAACAGACCTCAGTGCTTATAAATCAGAGTCTGGAACTGGTCTCTTTGCACTTGTGATCATCAGCATTTTCAGATATGTTATGCTTTGGGCACTTGGTTTTTCCATTTACCCACAGATGCCAGAGTTCAGAAATTCTCGCGTGCTGTCAGTGTGTGGGTAAAGGTGCACAACACTGGGTGTTTGCTCCGATGAGGGTATATGCCTTCCATAGGAGTATTCCCTTCAGGAGGAACAGCCACAATTTTGTGGTGTCTTAAGAAATATGTAGTGTCATTGTGCCCACACAGATTAGTAAGTGTGACAAGTTGAGATGAGTACTTAGAACTGGTCTTTGTTTTTAATTTTAAAAATGGTGTGCTTGGCACTGGTGTCCCAGACCTTGGCAGGTCTTGGAGCCATTTGGTGGTGGTGTCCCAAGACATGCCCACTCTGGAGCAAAGTCAGTCTTGGAACTGGAGAGGGTCCAAGTTGCTGGAGAACAAATTGGGTGTCCTGCTGCCTCTTGAGGGGTGACAAGAGGTTGGAGAGACTTTGGAGTCTGTGAACAGTTTTGGCATCATACCCTGCAGCTGGTAGGACTCAGTGGACAAGCTATTGATTGGCAGCTGGTGTCCACTTGAATGGCTTGTACTGGTTCTGGCTGTGGTCCTTGTCCATCCAGCTCTCGTGGAGGAGGTGCAGATGTCCGTGCAGGACACCACGGCTGAGCTCGGCCACGGCCTGCCTTTCGTATTTCGCCTGGACAGTGTTGGTGCGGGGCATGGCTCCTCACTGCACCTAGGCATACGCTGTGGACTTGGCATGAATTCTGGAAAGATGGCACCAGCTGTAGATTCAAGAGGTGGAGCTCACGCTTTAGGACTCCTTCTCCTGGGCAGCTCCAGTCACACCGCTGCTGGCTACAGTGTCCGGAGGCTGTGAGGTCTCACTAGGAGACAAGCGAAACGACTCTGAGTTGTGTCAGCCTGGACAGTCCTGACAGTCGCTTCTTGAGCGAGGGGCCAGAGATACAACTTCCTCCAGCGTCATGAGGAGATAAATGTATCTCAAGCAGAAAAATGAGGTAAGGGTGAGACACTGTACCAGTATCAGCTAAATTCAGTTGGGTCTTGGCTGCAAACGGAGTGCGGGGGGAGGCCCCTGGCAATGTGAGCACAATCCAGGATGGGCCTCAGACTCAAAAGCTGAACGTGTATGTCCTCAGCTTGGGAGGGCTCTTTTCAGAGGAGCACAAGAGCACTTCATAGGAAGCAGAACATGGCAGCAGGGAAAGGTCCATGTTGCACACATGTAACATCAGACTTGTCCTGAGATAGATCTCCTGCTTCATCTCTTCATGGCCAGCGACAGGGTAGCCAGGCCTCAGATCCTTGCTGAGTTCTTCCAGATCATGGCTCAGTAGCTAAAGGAAAGATGTTCATTAAATATGTAGTGAAGTAAATGCTTGGGTTTGCTTTCTGCCTCTGTTTAAAATGCTGCTGTCTGTGCTGGACACTAATGATTTTATTTTTTCTGGGGTAGTAGTCACATGAATAATGCATTCCCTGCTGAGCCTTTTTAACAGTCCCCTAGCTGCTTCCCATCTGAAGGGAAGTGCAAGAGGTAATTAACAACCACTTGAAAAAAGGATTAGCAGGTGGGTGGGAGCTACTGTGGGGTTCATGCATGGAATTGCCATGGAAATGCTGAGATTTCCTGGCACTTCATCCAGTGTGTGGGCTCCAAAGATAGTTGCACTCCTGGGCCTCTCTCCTTTCGATCTTCCTACCCTACAAAGGGAGCGGCTGTATTTCCCTTCAGGACAGCTTCCGCAGGCTGTGCTGCCGCCATCTGCACGCGCGATGAGGCCTGCGACCCAGGCCTGCTGCAGAGCGGGACGCTGCGTTGCAGCTGTCGCTGAAGTCTTTTTGCATTTCTTTCATGTCAAACCAATTGACAGAAAATTGTAGGGTAAAAAAACCCAAACCCTGGTTGTTTCACCTTTTCTGCTAATTCTGAAAAGTAGGTACTTGGTGCACGCAACACTCAGTTAGTCACTTCTTAGAGAAGTTGCTGATGGTCCTTGCCCTGCAAACTTTCACCAGCTCAGTCGCCCTTGCATTGCTAAACTCACTGAAGCAGGTGGGACGGTGCCACTGAACAAGGGCTGTTTTGCACATCAGCATTTCCAGGCTGTGTACCAAGATCTGCAACTGCTTCTGGGCAAATCTGAGAGAAATGTGTCTCATTTTAGTCCCAACTCTGGAGTTTTACAAGACTATGGGCACAGGTTCATCTGAAAAGATTCCTGGGGGGACCTGCCATCTCTCTCCCTTCCCCTTTCTGCAGCAGCAACAAAGAACCTCCTGAATTTGTCAGTGTCTGGGTGCTTTGGTTTTAAGGAAAGTGTACCGTTTGTTTCAGATCACCTGCTAGCAGACTCCTATATCGGACAGGAGGACTCCCCTGAGATGCAGCAGGCAGCACAGAACAAGCGCAGGCTCTCCGTCATCTCAGACGGCAAGTTTGAGAGGAGCTTCTCCGAGGAGCAGTCAGAGAAGATGCCAAGCGAGGGACCGAAGCCACGAGTCTACACGATCTCCGGCGAGAGGCCGATGTTGTCAGACCATGAGAACGAAAGTATGGAACTGGTGGTGATGAAGGGAGCTGCCCAAGAGGAATGCCACCATGGCCACCACGTGCACAGTGCCGGTGGCTCTCACGGCGTTAGCAGGCATTGCAAGGGCTGGCCTGGCAGCCGGCAAGGCTCCAAGGAGTGCCCGAACTGCACCCGGCTGGCTGCCCCTTCCCAGCATTCCTTTGACCTGGAGCAGCATCAATCCAGCGAGACTGGGTGGCACAGAAAAAGGCTGGAGAGGATGTATAGTGTCGATCGAGTGTCTGGTAAGTAAGGCTGGGTGCTGGAAGGACAAAAAGGGACTCATCAACACTCACCCCGCATGGAGGTTTTGTTGCCATGTGCCTCGAGCTGGGCCCTGTAGTGTTTCCCCTTTGGCACCTTGCTGGTACCTTGCACTATGTCTGTCGAAAGGGATTGTCAAAGGAAGAGTGTGAAATAAGCTGAGCTCAGTTTGAGTTGTCTCTGCTTCTGGCTTCTAAGCAGGGTGGTTTTCGTGACAGCACATGTAGCTTAGTGAGGGTGCTGTCTGCAGGCTCCCTTCCTGTTGAAGGAAGAATGAGAGAGCAGAGGCAGCGTCAGGGCACCTTCATTTCTGCTCACCCAGGAGACAGTTCAGAGGGGACACTCTCTGCTCTGCCTTATTCTGGGGCTGAGGCAGGTGAGATCTTTGTGAAGGTGCCAGGGTGCTCAGCAGGAGCCTCAGCTCAGCTGTGGTGTTCTGGACTTTGGTGCTTGCCCAAAATGCTCATCTGCGTGGCTGGAAGCAGTTTAGTGGGGTCCCTTATATAGTGCCACCTCATGGACTTTCCATAAATACTAGCAAATAACACAGTATTGGACTTTCTTCCCCTCTCTTTGTCCATTTGCATAATGTTCTTAGGGAATAGGGCTTGTAATTACTCAATTACATTAAAAAATCCCCGATGGTCTTTAAAAACTTAACCATTAATCAAATATATGTCAGAATCTATGTGCTTTGAATTATAAGCTGGTACACAGTCCATCTTTGCCTGTCAGCTCTGTATGTGGCTGGCAAAGAGTCTGACCTAATTTGTCTTGATTTTTCTGTTTTCTGTAAACACGCAGCAGAGCGTCCAGCTGGGAAAGGTCAGGGTTTTCTCCTTAAAATGAAATTGGATATAAGGGCTGTGGAGATCAAACTGTACATCTTTCCTGGGTTCATAGTCTTCTAGTGAATACCATAGTGATATTTACTGCAGGTAAGATCACTGACAGTTTGGGTTCTGGACCATATTTTCATATCTTGATGTTTGAAATTATGCGACTAAATTAATACATGGTCTTAATACTGAAGAATAATTCATATCTTGATGTTTGAAATTATGCGACTAAATTAATACATGGTCTAATACTGAAGAATAATTAAAAAAAAAAACCAAACAAAAACACCTTATCAGACGTGCAGAACACCTACAGTCCCACTAACTCTCGTGCATAGTTTTTAAGCATTGTTCCTCAGTTTGTTCCCTGTGATTTTGGTGCTTCACATCACACACCACATGTGCAAGTTTAGACTTTATTGCTTATGTGCAAGAAGAGGAGTGAGAGGAGTTTTTTCTGTATGAAAACCTTTTCTGGTTTTATGATCATGTGTGTTTTACCTGTTAAAGGATGGCTCTGCATATGATGGTGCAGCCAGAAAGCTTCTGTGAGGAGAGAAAAAAGCCATTCCAGGAAAGGAGATCACAAGCCCAGGAGCTTGGTCTGGTGGAGATCAGGGTGCTGAGTTGAACTGGTTGTGCCTCATGGTGTGTACTGAGTTGAGAAAGTGAAGATTTCCTTTGCTAATGCTGATGGATTCACATTGCAAGCTTTCCTGAGCACATCAAAATTGTACTCTGCACTGTGGGACTGAAGCCGGTTACTTGGTACAGAACCAAAGGAAAGCTCCAGATCACTGACGGAGGAGTTTAACTTCTCGTAGCTGGAGCTAAATGCCTGTGTTTGCTGGAAAACATGTCCTAGCAAGTGCTGCAGAGAGATGCCACATCCCGTTTCTGGGTCTTGGGATGTATAATACGTATTTTCAACTCGGCAGCAGTTTTGATTAGGGCCAGTTATCAACGTGAAATGGAGATTTGCCCTTCTGAAAATATACGGGAGTAGTTAATTAAAGGGGAACTCAGTGGGCAGCGCTGAAGCTGCAGATGCCTCGGTGAGTATTTCGTGTTTTCTGCAAGCAGACAGCAGCTGCCCTGGGTGCCTGTCCCCAGCTCCTGAGTGCTTGCACAGGCAGCGCTGTGCCTCTGGGACCAAATCCCATCATAACGCTGGCATCAGGGAATGAAAGTTTTCTCAGCCTGGTTGCGTTTGTGCTGCAGCCAACCATTGTTACTCAGAGGAAAACTGAGAATTGAATGGCACAACTGTCACAGGTTGCAAGAAGTGTTTCTTGGAATGTCCTTCATGCATGGCTAGCAGAGAAAACAGCAGAGATGAACGGGGGCGAGAGAGCGAGACTGATTTCCCCAGAGGTTCACTTTACAGCGCTGCTTTCTCTGTTTGGATTTACATGACACATTATTGCAGCAAACCAACACTCGTGGCAGTTAGGCCAGATTGGCATAGTTAAATATGGATTTTTATGCTGAGTTTATGATGCCTAACACCATTCCAGAGAAGCGCAAGCTGTTGTCTCCTGTGGTGCTCCCAGCACCTGACGCACACGCATCCGCTCAAGGACAGAGGTACTGAGATGTCCATGCAGCCTGGCAAGCGTCTGGAGATGCCGGTCGTGGTGGTGGTGTTCCTCCAGTCTTATCCCGGCCTGTGGTTCCTTGACTATCCCATCACAGGTGATGGAAACAAGAAAGGAGAACAAGATGTGCTGCCTAGCCAAAAATGAGCATCCTACCCGCTCCTGAAAGCACAATAGCCATACTCATAATTTGAATTTTAATTAGCTGGATGAGCTGTGGAGCTGAGTTGTGCTCCCTAGTCCACAGCTGTGTGCTTCTCTGCTCCTGTTCTACCTCTGGCTGGTGAAGAGGCACCTCTGAAGCATCACAGATGCTTTATTTTCCATGGAGTGCTGTGGGTAGGGAGTGACATCTTTCTTGTGTTGGCTCTTGTCTGTCAGAAAAGGAGGAGGGGCTTCCAGATGACCCAGCCAAAGCCTCATATGGGTGTTGGCTGTTGTTCACAAGCTCAGCTTGGAATCAAAGCTAGTGGCTTAAAATCTGTAAATTGTGTTAAGATGCTGGCAGTCCTTTGAGATGCGTAGTGCCCGAGAAGTCTGTTCAGAGTTGTTGGCTAAAAAGGAATTTGTACAACTTCTCCTCCTTCATTACTTTTGTGGGTTCAAGACTTCAAACAACCAATTTGTTTACAGTCTGAGCTGTTTTGCATTCCTTCTCTATCTGCTTTTTGGAGGAGAGCAGACACGGGAGCTTCATAGTAAGTACTTAGCGTGCTAGAATGCAGTTTTCGTTTAACATACATATTTCCTTAGGGTGCCTTTGTACAAGGCCTGACATAAACAGTTAGCTGAAAGGAGTGTCTCTTACAGCTTTCTGTATGATTTCTTGGAAGCTTTACTTCAAAGGAAGCCTTCCCAGTTGCACTTAGCATTTTTTGCATCTGTAATTGCAGCCACTTTTTGTACATTCAGGGAATAGCAGGATCCATCTGTAATAGATGATGATCTGTAAAAACATTTGGTAAGATACCTGGTCTGTAGTAATCATGTCTGCAGTATGCGTGCAGGGCTTCTTTGGGTTTTGGCCAATGAAAGTGAATTAAAAAAACCCACTCTTGACAATGCCTGAATATTAATGACTCGGGTACCGTAGTTGCTAATGAACTTAAAACTTGAATGAACAAAGCAAGACACGCAATCAGCAAGATGTGGCAAGATATTAAGGAAGGAAGCCCCAAACTGGGAGTGAAGCAAGATGAAAAATCAAGAAGTCCCAAATCCCAGGGATCCAGTCCACTGAGATCTTGCACGTCTTGTGTCAGGGGATTTTAATACACCTCCGATTCCCTGCCTGACCAACTTCAGCCTGACAGTCCTCAGCAGGAGCTGCTTCTTGGTCAGATTCCTCCTGGTCACCACCATCCCACACGCATAATTAGTGACTTGTTTTGCTGCTTGCTTTTTGTGTTAGTGGTCATGACATGAAGGTGATCAAAGAATCACAGACTGGTTTGGGCTGAAGGGATCTTAAAGATCATCCAGTTCCAACCCCCCTGCCTTGGGCAGGGACACCTTCTACTTGAATGATGTGGTATCCTAATGGAACAGAATTAGGAAATAATCCACAGTTGGTTCAGGGAGGGCAGTTTGCAAACACAGGGGACCAGACAAGCACGAAGTTGTCTGCAGATTGTATAGCTGATGTGTGGTTTGACTTCTAAAACCAGAAAACTCAAGAAGGCCAAGTCATCAGGAGCAGATGTTCTGGGGTTTTTTTTCTTCCAATGTCTCTTCTGTAATTCCTGGATTACTCTAATCTTCCACGCTTAGGATAGAGCTTTCATTCTTCATTTAGTAGCCTGATAGAAAGGCTTGGCACAAATTTACAGAACATAGGTGGCAGCGTGCATATACACGAGGAGGATGAGACTCTCCTGTTTGGTACAGGCAGGATGCTGAAGAAAAGTACAAAAAGAGCTTGGGAGGGCTCGCTGTCTGAATGCTGCCTTTGCCCGCTGGGTCTCAGGTTTTGCTCTCTCTTCCAGATGATGTCCCCATACGAACCTGGTTCCCAAAAGAGAACCTCTTCAGTTTCCAAACTGCTACTACAACTATGCAAGCGTAAGTGAAACTACTGCCGTAGCTTTTGTTGTATATCTTAAAGTTGTGGCCCAGTCAAACCTGTGTCTGAGAGCCTGGAGCAACCAGGTTGTATGTTTGGCACCGCAGCCCTGGGGGTGAGGGAGAGACAGGCCTTATCTCTTACTAATTGATTTTTTGCACTTATTAGTTCTCTGTCCTACTACTCCCACTTGTTTGGTTTTACCTTCTTTAACTCCTTGGGCTACCCAGCTCTTCTCTGCTTCCCTTATTTTCCCTGTGACACTCTGCCCTGTCTCTGGCTGTCTCTGCAGAGCGAGGGTCCTGTGGAAGCACCAACTGAGACCCTGCACCACTTGCTTCTGCTGCAGTCACTGCCACGAGGGAATGTTATTCCAGGCTTGCCCTGCATCCAGCACTCCAGAGGAGTGCGTCTCTGTTGGATGAGATATAGTCCTATGGCTTCTGCGCTAGTCTGGTCATTTGAAGAAGGTGTCAGTAAAATCTCTGCAGAGTGTGAGTGGGTCTGAGTTAGGAACAGCTTTCCCCCCCCCACGCTTCATGCAGGTTTAGGTGCCCCTGGTTGCTGTGCACTGGGAGGAGGCAGCTGTCAAAGGACTGAAGAGAGTGAGGGAAGCCACCTTTCAAGAGCATACCCAGCTCGTCAGGAAATGCCATCTTCCTGGTGTCAAATATTTCCTACCTGGCTGGAAAGCTAAGGCAGGTGATGAGGGAAATGAGATACCAGTCTGCCTGCTGAGGCCCTTCTCCAGCCTTGTTGCCTTTTCCAGTGTCCTCCTTCCAATGACTGTGTCACCCTCAGCTCTGCTGCTCTCTATTTCTCCTTACCTAACCTGGTCTCCCCTTTGTAGTCTGTTCTCCTGACATTTCTTCTTTCCCTCATACTTTTCCCTCTCCAAATCCCTAAAAGAGGCTGATTGTTGATGTTGGGATAACCTGGACTGGATCAGACCTGTAAGGACTGATGCAGGGAGGGATGGATCCAGTGTTGGGGAGAGGGGTAGCTGCTGAGATACTGGAAGGGATCTGCATCCCCCAGAAAAACACTTACCTTCATGCCTTCATGCGCTTTCCCTCCAGCCCAGCTGGAGGTGTGACCCACCCTCCCAGCATGGGGAGCAGCACTGGGGAGGCATTGGCCTGGTGCCAGTCTGCAGAATCTGATGGACGGCAGTGGGGTGCTAATCCCACCCTGACAGTGGGAGTGAGGAGCCTCTGCGGGCATCTGCTCTCTCTCTGTTGTCCTAGTGCTGCCCCTCTTACCTGACCTTGTTGTCCCTCCGCCTCCTCTTCAGGGGTCCTGAGTCCGGTGGCACCCTGCCTGGTAAGCACCCGTGGGCACCAGGCTGGCAGGGCCTGTGGGCAGCCTGGGGGCAGTTTGACAGATCCTTGCTCTGCTCTTCAGAAATGCTGGTAGCTGTGAATGGTATTTCACAGTTCTGACCTGACACACTGAACCACAAAGTCAGCACGTTTCCTTTGCCTTCGGGCACACCTTTGCTATCTGAAGTCATCTTTGCTGTGCGCAAGGTTTGACCCAGGATGATGGCCCATGGCAGGGCTTGCAGGTCTTGAAGGCCAAAGCGTGGTTGGTTTGGGGAATGGTGCCCTAAGGATACCCTTGAGGAAGCTCCCTTGGTTGACATAGCTCCATGGTCATGTTTCTGGAGGTTCTGTGCTGCCTCTAGAAATTGCAAGGAAACATCAGGGCACGTCCCGAAGCTGGTTGGGGCAGCTCCCCCAGGTGCCCCTGGTCTCCTGGCCTCTGCTCTAGGGTTTTCAGCCCGCCGTGCTGAAAGGGCCAGAGAGCGTGAGCTGACTGCGCAAGTATTCGTCACTGCGGGAGAAAGTCTCCCTGCTCCAGGAGCCCGGGGTGCTGAGCTCCCCTCGCAGCCTGCTGGGCCACGGTCAGCTGTCAGTTGTACATCTGCATGTTCCCTGGGTCTACACGGAGCTCAATTTGCATCCAAGCCACATGCCTCCCCAGGGAGGATTTAGCTCGGTCAAGTAGGAGTCTCACTACTGAGAAATGTTTAATTTAAAAAGCAATTTCCGTTCACCTAACAAGAAATATTCCTTCTGGAGTGAGAATTCCCTCAGAATGCTGGCCGGGGCTGAGCACTAATGAATTCCTCTTCTCTTTTTTCCTGCGTCTCCTGGAATCTCTAGCATCTCGTAAGTATAATCTTCATTTTTTTATTTCTTTGTCTGTTGGTGTCCTGGATAAACTCTCCTCTCCTCTCCATCGTATTCACTCGTGCTTTCCCTATGCTAGGGCTGTCTGGCAGCTGGCAGGAGGTTAGATGGCTACACGGTAGGCCTACATGGATCACACCACAACCATCCGCATCTTCGAAACTGGGACTACAGTTGCTAGCATGCTTTTGTCCCTCTTGATCCTGGTGTACAGAGGTTTTGTCTGCAGGCTCCTAGGTCCATTCCTAGCAGGGATGATGGCTGCTCGCCCTCATTCTTTGGGCCGTGCTGTGGCCACTCGTGCGTTTGCTTTAGGAGCAACTGCTTGTCCATCCACCTACCCTAGGGAGTGAGGACCTTTGGTTTGGTGAGTCTTCTGCCTGGCCCCTGACTCACACGCAGCCCCGTAAGGGCTGTCTGTCTTCCTTGGTCAGCCTGATCTCTGTTGTCTGGTGAGAGCTTTCCTGTCTGTGTTTGGTGTCCTCTCCAGTTCAAAGCTGTGTAGTTGGTTAATGGCTTAAAATGGTTTCCCAGGGCGTTCAGGGGCTACGCAGAGAGGAAGAGACGGAAACGAGAGAATGATTCTGCAGCTGTTATACAGAGGTAGGGCCTGTTTTCTCCCATAGCCGTAACCTTGCCTGGTGTTGCATGAGCCCTTGGGGCCTCATTAGTGACGCTTGATGATGTTGAACGTGGTTGTCCCTGTCTGTGTTGCTGTTTGTAGGGACACTAGCAGTGGCTGTGTTGGAAATGTGGAGGTGAGTGATGCTGCAGTGCTCAAGATAGCTGATCTCCATCTTCTTAAAGGAACACTGTCAAGTTGCTTTTAAGCTTCCGAATATAAAATACAGGATCTGTGTCTCAGGCAGAAAAATATAATACATATTTAAAAAAATCAAATATGCAATTTCCCCCGCCCTCTCCAAAACATTTGGAATTTGTTTGAGGTTAGCTGAATGTCTAACCAGTGACTTATATGTGCTGTTGCTATGTCTACAAATGCACTTCAAAAATCTGAGACCTAGGCAAAATCGACATCTCTAGTGACCAGAAGTCTATTTCTTTAATCATTTTTTTAAAGAACAGAAAGGAAAGAGCAGGGGATGGGGACCGATTCCTTGTCTGGGTATTGCAGAAGGGCCCTGGTTTCCCTCTGCTGCCTTCACAAGGTGCATCGCTTGGCCTCTGTGGTAACTAGAACTGTTCTGGTTATTTTAAATATGCCAAGGCTCATGTATTTTGGCAGCCTATTAAGAAGGATAACACAGCATTTGTGTCATTGGTTAAAAGCTGCCACGATCACTTCAGCACTGTTCAGTGCAAAGTGGGAGAGAAACATCGGGCTTTCTTCACTGGGAAATTGCCAAGAAGATTTTTTTTTTTTCTTTAGCAACTTAGGGTGGTGAATTTTTTCATCAGTAATGAAGAGAAATAAGAATCAAAATTAACCATGCTGTAAATAAATAGACAGTGTATCTTTAAAAAGAAAGAGATTTCTCAAGATTTGTTAGGGGCAGTCTTTGTTAGAAAATGGCTTGTTCACATGGCTTTCAAATACAGGAGCAGGGGCTGTGTATGTTGGTGATGCCGCGTAGTCAGGATAGAGGATGGAGTCACGTCATCCCTGCGTTGGGCAGCCAGCATGGACACGGAAGGTCTAGGCAGGTTTGTACAGTGGGAGCCCGTCTGCGTTTATCTTGTTGTAAAAGAGAAGAGAGGATAGCAGTGGTGGGTTTTGGCTGTGCAAGCAGAGCCTGGCGAGCTTCAAGGATTGCTGGCAGTTAGTGTTCAGCTGCCTTCTCCAGGGAGTGAGGAGGACCCCAGCCCCACTGCAGCTTTGGGTGCTTGTTGGGCTGCCCTGCATGGCCTCAGGGGTTTTGGCAGGTCAGTTGTTACCGCACAGCCCCTTCAGCGCTTGGCCCGGCGTGTCTGGTGCGTGGGGAGCCCGGGTTGCGTGGCACGGCACGCGGTGGTGATGCCCAGTGGTTTGCTGAGCCTTGTGACTGCTGCCAGGAGGAGCTGGGTAGGAGCACGTGAGAGGTGCTGTCAGGGGTTTTGCAGAGCGCTGTACGGCAGTAGTTCTGTCCTTGACCTCTGTTCGGGTAATGGCAAGGCTTCTCGGCAGAGTGCAAATGAAGCGCTGCAGGTAGAGCTGCAGGGTGTGTGGAGTGGGGCTGCCGTGTCCTGGAGACCCTTGGGTTAGGACACAGATATCATGGAGGTGGTGTAGGGTCGTGCAGACCACCTGGTGAGCTGGAGCCTGTCAGGAGGAGGATTGTTCAGGACAGGCAGTAATAAGGAGATTTTATCACTGTAACTTGAGGGATGCTTGTTGAATTTTGATGGGTGAAGAGATCTTGCTAGTGATCAAATAACACCGGCTTTTCTGGGTGCAATTGCAGGAGCCAGGCAGGAAAGCTGGGCAGGTTAATGTAGCCCCACTGCTCACAGCGCAGTCTGCGTTCCCCCCCAGGGTGCTGTGCCAATCCTTTCCCACTACCGTGCAAGCACAGAGGGGCCTGAGGACCAATACAGCTGCAAAGACCCCTCAGAAGCATCTAGGTGACCCAGGATGCCCACAGTTGAAGGCAGTCCCAGGCTTGCACCTCCTTTCTGAAGTGCTTTTTTTTTTTTCTGGAAGAGATGAGGAGGAAGGAAGAGGTCTTTGGTCCCATTCTCCAAACATTTAGTGCTATGGTTAACCTGGAGCAGCTGGATTCTCCCTGCAGCTGCTCTTGGCAGTATTTAGGAGATGTACCTAGACAGCTGCCCTCAACCCACACTCATGGGAGAGATCAGTCTAGGCAGCTGGGAGCATCACTCTTCCATGGCAAAGACTGCTTTACCCTCCTTCCCCCCAGGCACTGAAGAAGGACAGCTGAGCAGAGAGGAAAACTGAGCATTTAACCGAAAAATGGATTTTACTCCCAAATCCCAAAGGATGTCGCCGTGGTCTTGCCAGTTAATATTGGTGCTCAGTGTCTGGTATGATCTTGTCTCACAAAGGACCATAAAGGTTTTTGTTCTGGTGGGTTACAGTATATGTCTAAGAGCTTTCTGCGTGCCGAACAACCCTGGTTCCCTTAAAATATTGTATTTATTTGGATGTGAATTTAGTGCGCAGTAAGACGTTATCAGTCATCACGCGCCCCAGAAGGCAGTGTGTGTAGAGCCCGTCCAGCATGTGTTAGTGAATTGGTTTAGTTACCTGTCGAAAGGGGCAGTTGCCTGATCCACAGCAGTGAATTGTCACATACCCAAGCAGATCGAAGATAAATCTGTAAAACTACATTAATAGCCCAAGGGCAGCTAGAAATTTGTCATGGAAGAATGTTGCTCCCAGCCTCCCTACCCAGCTGCTAGTTTTCCTTCTTGAGGTGCTGAATTTGGATTCTGATGACAACGTGGGATCCAAGGGCAGAGTGGGGACAGGGCAGAGGGTGGTGTGGGTTCAGTGCTTTCCCATGAGGGCTGTGTTTGTGTTGAGCTCCTTGTGTAGGTGTAGACCTATCTGACTTTTCTCTGGACAACTCCATGTCAGTGCTGGAAGTGTCTTCTAGTCTGATTAGTTTGCTAAAGCATCTGCATGGTTGTAACATGTAACTCATCCCACTAACTTGTGTGAGCACCAGACGGTGTGTCATTTTACCCGTTTCACCAGCAGCAGTCTCTGTTGCCTGATGTCTGCGGTGTGTGTCGGTGGGGCAGAAGGGCATCCAGGAAGGCTCCCATACCCCATGCAGGCTGCTGGTAGGGGCTTACTAACATCCCTGGGGGCCGTGGGGGCAGTGCTGCAGGGTGAAGTCACCCTGACTAAGTCGCGTTCACAGAGGAGTGGCAGTTTTTTGATAGTCCATGTGCTGTTTCTCCCCTGTGTCTCTTCTGGTGTTCTGTTTGATTCCTGTCCTGTTTGCGTCCTGTCCAGGTGAGTGATGAGAGCTAAGGGAAGCAGGCCCCTTGCACTCGGAGGGGCTGGATGAAGAGTCCCTTTGCCATGGTTTCTCAGGAGTGCCATGGTTTCTCAGGACAGTAGTTTTACACAGACCTGACTGTGGGGTGTATCTGCTCCCCAAGGCTTACCCTGTGCTGGACCTTCCTCGGGCACTGTGTACTCCGCAGCCCCGCCGAGCTCTGCCCGCGAGGCGCGGGCAGGGGGTGTGTGGGTCGGCAGGCAGCGGTAGCAGAGGGCAGGCTCAGGACCGTCAGCCTTGCTGAACAGTGTGGGCCGAGAAGGAAGAAGCTGCTTCAGTCTTTCCCAGCTCTTTGCCCGGGAGAGCTGTACAGGACCGGCACGGGTGGGACTCCAGCAGTGCTGTGAACGCGTTTGGGAATGAGCACAGCCCTGAGGACGGTGTGTGCATGCTGCCTAGCAGGGCAGAGCCCGGGAACCCCACTTCCCTGCTTCAACCTGCGTGAAAGGGAGGAGAGAGGGGAGCAGTCACTGCTCTTTAGCAGGAGAGGGCACAGCAGGGGCAGTGGCAGTGTATAGGAGCATGAAAGCAGGCTGGGAAGGGGACTGCCGTGTGGGACTGCCCTTGCTCCGTACCACCAGCCCAGGGAGTTCAGAGGAAACAGCCTCTTGGCAAACATAACCATCCCCAGCACTGAGCAGGTGCAGGCTGGGAGCCTGGTCTCCAGCTTTTGAATGCCCAGAAGGAAATACCCTGTCTTCCCAATTATTTTTTTTCTCCCAGTTTTTCAGTCCTGCTGGGCCCAAGTGTTGCCTTGTATTACCTTTCTCAGAGGTTGTGTTTGGCCTTTCTTTCAGGAATTTTCGGAAGCACCTCCGCATGGTGGGGAGCCGAAGGGTTAAAGCACAAAGTAAGTGAGCACCTGTAAGATGTGGCTGTGAGGAGTTGGGGTTTGTGCCGGTGGGACACGGGGAACCCTATGTTGCATGCAGATGTGAGTAGAAAGGATCTAGCCTTGGGCTGGAGAAAGGATTTCACCTGCTGGTGCCATTTTACCCCACAAAAAAGAATGCCAGGTAGTTGTAAGTCTCCAGGACACACGGATGTCTGCAAGCAGCCTGAAGGTATTTCTGAGGATGCTCTGCCTTGGCCGTGGGAGATCTCCATGGCCTCAGAGTGAGGAGTGGAAGGAGAACTGCAGCATCCTTGTCCCATGTGCCTGTGGGTTTTGGTGGTCATCGGTGTAGACGCTTGAGGAGAAGAGAGCTGAGAGTTCAGCGGGGCGGGCGAGGGCTGCCTGGCCTCTCCTGGGGCTGCGGACCAGCCGTGGCTCCCTGGGGACAGTCGGTGCTTCGTGTGCCACGCAGACTGGCTTTCTCTCTCCTCCTGCCCTGTCCCACAGCCGTCTCCGCAGCAGGACCTGGGGGAAAGTCGCCTGATGGGAGCTGAGAGAACAGTGGAAGGGAAGATGAGGAGGAACAGGGAAAAGATTGGAGCAAGAGTTAAGTAAGGGATTGTTGTGCCTCACTGGGGAAGAAATCACCTCTTAGGCCTGAGAAACAGCAGTTCCCTTTCCCTGAGGAAGACAACACTCTGCCGTAACTTGGCTGGGGCATCGCCCTTATCACTGTGAAATGGGCTGAGAATGGTATAACCGGCTCCGGAGAGCTGAGGATTGCTCCAGAAGAGGAACCAGCTTGTTCTTCCCACCCCCTGACCAGGCATCATATACTGACTGCCTGCAGCAAAGTGAAGCATTCTTGAGTTGAATTTGCATTCTTTCCTCTCCGTTCTGATACGCTGTGGGAAGTGAACAGCAAACAGCGTTGCCCTTTAAAGTGTCTTGATTGGCATCTGAGTTAGCACTGCCTAAATGAGCAGGACTCGCCTCCCCCCAGAGCTGTCTGAAGTTCAGGCATGCCTCTCTGCCTTGGTAACTCTCGGGTCATGTTTTCAAAGCCTTTTTCATGTGCACGATAGCTAAATGCCTGGTTTCAAATGAAAGCTGAGGATGGAGATGACCTGAAGAACTTCCCGTGTGATTTGTCTCCCTGGACACGCAGAGGACAGGCTCTGTCTCGGCTCTTGTAATGCAGATCTGCAGCGAACTCCTGTGCTGCTGACAGGAGGTGCTGTTACTAGATACACTGCAGCAAACTTGCTCTGTCTGCTACCAGAAATAGGTATTCGTGGCTATAAGTGGCTGTTAATCTAGGCATAATGGCTCTCACAGGGGCTTGCCAAGTCCGACACGGTGGTTGGCAGTTCCCAGGAATTTGCCTGCAGTGCAGCCAGCTGGGCCAAGCTCCCTGGATTCCGCTTGGGAAATGCCAGTACAAACAATATCATACCTGTTGGAAAGACAAAAAAAAAAAGCCGGGGGGAGTGCTCACAAGAATGCAGGCAAGCAAAACCGGAAGGATTTCCTCTTTTGTAACAAAATTCAGAAAGCATGAGCGTGCCAGGGGCCACCCCTGTTTGGTCCAGCTCTGATTGGGTTGTCATGAAGGGAGAACTACTGCTTTCTTCTGGTCGTGTACGTGTCGTTAGCTGTTGAGCACATCCTCCTGCAAGGCCTTTGAGTCAGAGCATTTACACTGGGACACTGGAATAGCCTTAATTAAATAGAGGTTTGAGCAGTGTGCGTTTAAGGAGGGACCGTCAAGTGTCCTCCTTTTTCTGTGTTACATACCCGAAACGGCCCTGCTCTTCTGCTGTCTAGAAGACAGACCTTTGTTTGCGGTGTGGAAAGGACTCACATTTGGCAAGTGGAAGAACGAGCTCAGGGGAGTCCGTGATGTGTGGCTTTGGTGGAAATCTACTGGATGTTTTGTTTTGCTGGCAGCAACAGAGGTGGCTTTGGAGTCTGTTAATGTCGTGCTTTGGTTTTATCCTAGCATTTGCCGAACGGCGTGAGAGAAGCTTCAGCAGGTCCTGGAGTGACCCGACTCCCATCAAAGCTGATTCCTTCCATGACTCTCGAGAAAGTGAGTTCTGAGTCCTTTGAGCTTCCTCCTGTGGCCAAACCCTCCAGCTGAGGTGTTGACTGGAGTCCCACTGGAGTAACTCTTCTCTGCCCATTTGTCCCACCTGTGATCCTTTTAGTTTCATGAGATCTGAGCAAGTAACCCTTCAGGTATCAGCACCTGTTCGTCTCTGTGTACCTGTATTTATTTGTAGGGCACAACGCATCTAACCTCATGTTGCTCTGCGGTTGCTCAAGGATACCCTTGATACAGTACAGCTCTCTTCCAGCCCTCTCTTCCCATCATCCCATATTTGCTTGGGATCAAAACAACCTACCTGGAAGCACACCAGTCCAAGGCTACATTCACCACAGTGGGGCTAACCTGCCTGGCGTCTGGTGCAAGAGCCCCTTCCGTGCTCTTTCCTAGGCTAGAATAGCTCTAGAGCCCAGCTGCAGCGCTCCATGAGATGTAGCTTTGATTTCCTGGCCATGCTGGCTGCACAGATGATAGCCTGGGGCAACCTGACCTTCGTTTGGGCTGCCAGGAATTCTTCTGGGAATCCCCAGTAATGTTGTGGTGTTCTGCTTGTGGGGACTGAGATGCTGGTGTGTTAATTTGCAGGAGGAAAGGCCAGCATCTTCCCACTGTCCTTATAAAGGGAACGGCTATTTTACCCAGAGCTTATTGAAAGCCTGTAGGCAAGGGACTTGGTGAATAGGAGTTCACCCATGTTGAAATGGGTTGTATTGCAAATGAATTTCAGTAATGAAGTGAACTGACCTACCAGGTAAGCCTGAGATCCAGCCCTCCTAGCTGTAGAAGACACCGTACCAGGTTGTAGGGGGAGATGTGTGAACGGCCAGGTTCAAAACATGACCCGATTGTTCCTTTGCAGTCTGACTCCTCCCCGCTCCCTCAGCTAACTCAGAGGCGAATGGAAAAGACATGGCACAGACAGGCCCCAGGCACTGCCCAGTGACACTCGGACACCCCAAAAGGCACAAATAGAGGCGTCTCGGTTCTCTTTCCTCAGTCCCGTGCTTCAGGGGACCATCTCTATTTTTAACCTTTAACGGTCAATTATATTCCTTCCAGATGTTTTTTTCCCCAGGAGGCATTGAAGGCCAACAGGTAAGGTCAACTTGGAGCCCAAATTCAAGTATCCTGTTGCAATACTACTGTGTTTGCTACGGCTGTCCTCACGCCCCGGGACTTCTCTGCCAGCATCAGTTTGACCCACAAAGCAGAGTTTCTTTGTAATCACTCAGAAGACATAGTCAGAGCAGTGATTATTACAAGGAGACCAGCTTTGAAGTCTTGGGACTTTTGCTCATCAGCTTGGCAATGTTGAAGTGTAGAGAGTCTGTCTGTGTTCTGTCTCCTCCCGTTTCTGAAATGACAGGGTGACTGTTGTGAATTAGCATTTGAAAGCTAAACTGGTGACTGTGAGAGTGGCGAAGTTATGTGACATGTGGTATGGGGCTCTGTGTTGCACTCTTCATTTGTTCAGTGTTTGTCTGTTTAGAGGTGCCGGCCCCTAAGTGTTGGTGTCTGTCACGCTGGAGGAAAGGAGGGTACAACCCTCGTGGCTTGTGGTACCTCTTGCAAGGCAGCTGCCAGACAGGATCGAGTGGGGAAGGCGAGCTGTTCTGCCTGGTAATGCGCACTGTGTTCTGGCAGGCCATGACCTTCAGGATTCCTGCGGCACTTTGGATGGCGACTTTGACTTGAACTGGGAAGCGGAAAAGGAACTTGAAGCCATGGCATGTGACGGAGAAGACTTTATTCCACCAAAAATAATGGTGAGGGTTTCCTACCTGTATCTACTCAGGCTCTGTCTGTCCTTTCTGAGCCATTAAGTTTAGGATCTTCATGGGAAGAGGACAGTCTTTTGTATGGGCAACTCTTCAGATGTGTTTGAGGGTCGCTCAGAGCCAAGACATGACATGGGATTCAGCGTATGTTATTGCTGGGGATAATGTGTGGAAAGAAAACTGGAAGTGAAAGGACCTGTAGTCCAACCCCAAATCAGCACAGGACTCTCACCAGCACTGAATCAAGTTAGCCTAAGTCTCCATAACCCTGAAATAGAGACCCCAGTCCCCTGTCCCAGCAGCCCCTCCTTCCTGTCGTTACTTGCCGGATTTGCTTTGGAGCCACATGTCATCCCTGGAGATGCTTTCTGCTCTTTTACCATTCTGTGATGCTAGGCTTCCCCGCCTCCCCCTGCTTGGCTCAGCGGGGTTTGGCAGGCAGGACCAGGCTCTGACTTCCCTTCTTTGGCCACAGGTACAAGTACTCAGGCAGGACGGGGTCTCAAGCTTCCAGCTTGCTCTCAGGGCGGCTCATTGCTGGTCCATGCAGCAGTGCTGTGTTTGAAATGTCCTGCTAAGGCTTGGGAAGAGTGAAGGACCTGGAGACAGTCAGCTCTTCTGTGTGTTCCCAGGCTGGCTATGCAGTCTCAGCCCGGAAGCACTGTCAGGGCAGGGCAGTGACCAGGTGAGACCCAAACTCTAGGAGCCCCACATGTGGGTTTCCTCAGCCCTTGTCACCTCCAGCCTGTCTCCCCGGGTGGTGTGCGTGAGCCGTGTCCTGGGCTCTGTCCATCCTGCCTCCTCAGAAACTCCACAGTAGCTCCCCTGCGGCCGAAGTGGCGATGTGCTGCCTGCCAGGGGGAAGGGCTTTGAAGCCAGCCCAAGCTGGAATCCCGGCTGCACGTAGAGACCCACCAGCACCGCTGCCTGCTCCATTCTCAGAGTGATGAGCAGAGGGGTCTGAAATCACAGCACAGCCAAATTGCCCCTATTCCCATAGCCCTTCGGCTTGCGCTGATGGCAGGCCCATCCCTGCGGGCTGGTGTGCTGACGGAGCCAGCTGAAGCTTCAGCCAGAATTGCCAGGCAGCCTGCATCTCCCCAACATCCTACGGCTGTGTGCCTACCTGTGCCTGATGCCGTTTTATCCCTTGCCTGGTTCCCATTCAGGCACGCAGCCATCCCACAGCCAGCTGAGCAGGCCAGTTGGGACACTCCTGCAGCCAGAAGCCCAGGCCCTCACACAGAGCAGGCTGTACAGGAGTGATTCTCACCGGGATACAGCCATTCGTGGTGATGCACAACCTTCCTCATCCTCTGTGCACACCGCTCTCCCCTTTACAACTGGTGTCTCAGGCGCTGGCCTGCGTTTGGGCAGAGCTGCCTGCTCGTTTGTTGGGTCTGGCAAGACTGTGACGCTGTGGGGTGCTTGGCAGGCCTGGGGATGCTTTGGTGGACTGAAGGCTTGGAGGACCTTTCACAGGGATGGAGGTAGCTGGATTAGCTGCTAGTTCGGGTGACACCTGAGAGCAGCTGAGCAGCACACTGTTAACATGGCCTTTGTGCTTTTGTGCAGGATCTACTGCCTTCTCCTCATCCTCTTGCACTTCTTTTTCCCTCTTCCAGCTCATTTCTTCCAAGGTGCCCAAAGCAGAGTATGTCCCGACAATTATCCGCAGGGACGATCCCTCTATCATCCCCATTCTCTATGTAAGTATATCGCTTCTGCTGCGTCCGGGTGTGTGGGAACAGGCTTCATACACAGAACTCTTTTTTTGGTCCTTATTCCTAGTTTCTGTTATGATGAGTCTGAAACACCGATGTGATTTGGAAAAGCTGTCAGGAAGGGGCTGGGGGTGTGCTGAACCCAGATTTGGGATCTGGGGTAGCTTAGTAGTGGCTCAGGTGTAGGTGGAAGAGTGAGGTGGAGTGAAAACTGCACGTGTGGGCTGCCAGACTATGCAGATACAGCCGGGCAGCATGGGAAGGTTAGCAAGGGAAGGCAGGGCAGACCTGAGCACACAAGCAGAGCTGCGTGTTGCCAGGCTTAGGGCTCCTCCTTACCCTTCATCTGAGGACGAGCAGACCTCAGAGCTCTGCAGTGGACCGTGAAGCTCATCACCTACGTACAGTGGTCATCCTGGTCAGTCATTAATTTAACCTTGATTTTCCTCTAGCAGTCTGGCCTGAGCAGGCATCTTGGGTTTCTCTCTCCTAATCACTTTATGTTCACTTAATTTGAAAGGGAAGAGTTGGACTGACAGCCCAGAAATCTGTCTCCGTGTGCAGCAGGCGGTGGTGCTGGGGGGTGTAGCTTTGCTGCCTCTCCCTTTGAGAGTTGTGCGGTTGTCCTGGTGACCCTGGACAAGCTCAGGGAGTGTGGCTGCTTGTTAGCCAGCCTGGACACACATAAAGCCAGAGGCTGGCTACAAAACGTGGGCCGAGAGGCAAATCCACATTGCTGATGCTGCCTGCGTCTGGTGGATGGTACGTGCTTTGGACTAGGCTGCGGGATTCATCCTCAAGCCTTTGGATGGACTCGGTCTTTGTGGACCACCCAGTCTTCAGCTTCTTTGAGATGTGGTTTTGGGTGACAATTACTGTGATGCACCCAGAAGCCATCAGTTGGTATAACTGTGCTCTTAGAGCGTGTGTCTGCATGGGGATGGGATTGTGTGCAATAGTAGAGACTTACTAATGTTATGGGAGCTGGTGTACTGACAGCAAACCCTCGTGTCTTCTCTCTTGGTTTCCAGGACCACGAACATGCCACCTTTGATGACATCCTAGGTACGTCAGTGTTTTCCTTTCCGTAACTCCTGCTGGTGGCAGATGTAACCGATCAATATGTTAGTGTCACTCCACTGCCCTGTGCCTCAGCTGCCACTCATAAGGGTGTCTTACCATCCCAGTGACACCTGACAGTCACTCAGCTGCTGTTGGGTGTGCTGCAGCAACAAAAATTCACTTCTACATGAATTTTTCTAAAAATTCATTTTCCATGCCAAGCTCCTGGTTTACAGCAGGGAAGCTGAGGCACAGGGCAGCACTGTGCGTTGTACCCTTGTAGGTGAGTAGGAGCAGTGACAGAGGGTCAGGGCAGCCTGGTCTGGTGCTGTGGCCACTCAGAACAGGGTCTGCTGCGGCACCGAACCTTCTCTGCCCTGTCAAAGCTGGGTTTTCCCGCTTTCCACAGCATGAAAGCAAAGGAATTGCTTCG